TGAAGAAAAATGTTCGGATGGAAAAATAAAGTTAGTGTCATCATGGGAAGTTTCAGGGCTATTTCCGGAACAAAAACCGCATTTCCTAGATCTGAAAAAGAAGTGATCGTATGTGGGTTTAGATCATAGAGGAGAGTCCCCATCATCCTTGTCCCAAATGTTGACTCATTAAAGGCATCCTTGATGCTCAAGTCACCGTGAACAACCACAAAAATCCGAATATCCGAGGTGTTGACCGTATTAATATATTTTTTATTTGGGTGATGAAGTAGTCCGCGTTATTCAACTAGTGAAGACATCTACTAATGATGACCTGAAGCTATTTCTGTGACTTTCCTGAAGCCCAGTTAATCAATCGATCGAGGGTAAATACACCCGGCTCAGGTTTAAGCTATCCCCCTTTTCCCCAGAGAAAAAAATTGCAATTTCGGAAAAGGTCAATCGAATGCACAGTCAGCTCTATTCAGGTCTAAACTTTATGTAAATGTATTGCTCTTCGAGATGAACGCAAATTCGGTGAAATTACGTCGAGTTGTTTCAAAGTAAATATTTTGATCGTCGAAAAGAAGGCATCCGGTCGTTAGCCGGTCGTATGGAGGTTTCATTGCGCAGTACTGCGTAAACTCGGTTCGAATGGGCTCCGAAGTTATGACTTTGCTTTGCGTAATGATGGACGTGACTCGCATTGTGATACCGTCTTGTTTTTCTCGGCCTGTGAACAGATTGCCCGCAGGCGATTTACCGCGACAGGGAGAAAAAACTCATCAGCTTCCAGCCGGACTTGACCCGGAACGTGAACGCGACCTCGTGCTTCGAGTACGAATACTCCGACCCCAGCGGCGGGTCGCTGAAGAGCAACACGGTCCACAACGGCGGACTGGCGGCTCAGGAGCACCACTACGAGTCGCCTCAGGGCATGTCATCAGCCATGGGATTGTTGGGCGGTGCGTCGCCGCTGCCACCGCAGCTGCCGCCGCCACCGTCGCCGCCCTCGCACGCCACTGCGTCTCTCGGCTCCAAGAAAGTGCCGCCCTCGGAGTCGGATCGTTCGCTCGACAGCCTGCCTTCCTCGACAGGTGCGTGAAATTCCCCGGCGTCCCCCATTGCGACGACCCTCCCTTGTTGGCTGTGCGTAAATGCGCTGACGGTTATCTTCAAGTGCCGTCCCGAAATGTTATCAGCGCGCTTTTAAGTACCCTCTAATTGTACCCATCCTCACACGAGGCTTTTCGGCTGTGTTATAAGTGCATGAATAACAACCACATCAGGGTGACCGACCTTCAAGGCAATTATGCTATATTATATAGTACATGAGCAGCCTTAAAAAAAATACACCGACGCGCCATGCGTCTTTGAAGTGAATTAAAATAGTGATTTGAAAGCCAAGTTTATTAACAGTAAGAGTTGAACACACCCTATGACCTTCCTAGGAATGAAATGAAATGGCTTGTACTTTCTCCTCAAGCTGGGCACTGAAACAACCGAATTGACCATAAATATAAATTTTAGTAGGACTAGAGCCAGAGTTCGGCCTGAGTGTGATTGAACGACATGATTCTGAACCCTGGTAGTTCGTATTTCTGACCTTCAAGTCCATGCGTCATCACAAATAATGGAGCTTAAGGTATAAAATCTGCTCATTTAATTTTCGAATGCTGTAGCTCCATTTTCCGACGTATGAGGGCTAATTCTGAAGGAGGAAACGAGATGCTAGTTATAGTGTACTGCATTTTGATCTGTGTACCACAGGTCTCCAAAAGTGTTTAAAGGTGTATAATGGAAAGGTTACACTGTTCCTGTATAGCACCCATTTTTCTGGAATGAGAGGAGATTTAGTACTTGATGTACAGAAGGCGTATTCTCGAGTGCTTCCCTTTATTTGCGGTAGGAGTCTCTCTTCTTATTTTTTTTTAAGCGTGTAATTTAGCATTTAACACGCTTCCTGACGAAGACGTTCGAATAATCGCTTGAAAATGTACTTGAGCCGGATGGGTTTCACCGATCGAATGATAGGTTTTCATATTACGGAGCAAAGCAATTACAGCATTTCCTCGCCGTATCTTTTCTCGAGATGGATTTGATCGCAGTCATCTGTCCCCTTCTGTTGCTAGGAGGTGGCCTGTATTTTACGACCACCATCAATTTCGTTAATTCCCCGGCATTCCGAAACTATTTCTTTACTACTTGATTTATGTGCCTAGTACTTGTGCCCGCTCCTGGGCCACTCTTAATGACGTGTCTCCGCTTTTTAAACATAGCTTTTGTCTCAAAGACTTTAACGACCGTCTCTACAATTCAGCTGCCGCTCGACGAAGATACAACTTTGCTGGGGTTAAGTTCAGGCGTTGGTTACTTACCCGAGGGAAAAATGTACGATGAAGTACCAGTTGTAACTTTCGTGCTATTGTTTTCTTGGGCATAAATTGAGATCCGTTTTTTTTAGCGAGAACGTTTGTAACCGAGTTGCACGACTTGATTAAAACGGATGGCGATGCGTTTTTCAGCGTACGAGGTATTCTCGAAAAGCAGTGGAATCAACACAACGAATATAAGTTTAGGATAAAAGCTTTCGCGTCAATTTGTGACGCAGTTGAACCAAGCTCACGTACACAGCTAGTGGATCCTATGTTCATTTCTTTCTTTTTTTATCGGCTCCACGTGTCAAGGACCTGTGCTGGGAGTTTAATTAATGCATGAAATAGAATCGTTTTTTTAGGAAATTATGCGCTGTGAGGTATAAACGTGGGATGGTGAAAACAAAAGACGAACTTGAGATTGTCATGTAAATTCAACCTTGCAGCTCGTAGCGAACAATAAAAACAACAGTACATTAATTATTTCCTTTATTTTCACTCGCAATGGTTTATTGGTGCCTGAACGTCGTTGCAGCGAGTGCAAGAAAGCAAGGATTATAACTTGATTGAAATTTATGAGAATAACTCTCTTGGTACCTTTTTTATTTTTTGTGCGCTTGTCTTTTTTTTTTTGCCCTTTCGTACACTTGTTTTGCTTTATGCTTGCTGTTTTCAAGTACGAGATGCACGTGCTACACTGCTACTAGACCCACAAAAACGGAAATGCTATATTTCGAGAATTTATGAACGTATAATTTTGAACGTAATGTCAAAAGAAAGAAAAGCGGAATATTCTGGCATTAAATCGAGTTGTAAACATCCATGAACGTTCAGGAAAACGGCTACTGTATTTCAAAGTAAGAATATGGTACTGAAATTCTCACGAAAACGCTACACTGACAGTATTGGCTTTATTGTCTATTAGGCTAAGCAGTAAATTAAACTATCTCACGGGGATTTCGCCCCAAAATGCCAAAAATCCACCGTTTCCTTTTTCTGCCGCTGATTTTTTTGGATGATACCAGATTTTTAAAATTTCTTTCAAGTTGAAGCTTCGCCTTTCGAAAAATAATTGAAAATTAATCTTCTGCGGTTATAACTGCCCAAGTATTCCGGGCGTGTTTGTGTTTATTTTTTTGTGTGGCCTGATAGCGCGTAAATTAACCTTTTATTTTAATTTTTGAAAGTGGCTGCGTTGTTCAGGGGAAATTATTTAATTTTAATTTCTTTTGAAAAGGGTTTTTCAAATGGTGATGAATGTTTCTTTTCTCTCCGTAGCCTCGTGTAAGTCGTCGACAGTCGGGTACGGCTGCGAAGGCATGGTTCCGCTGAGTTCCGTGGCGACCAGCCCGATGTCGCCCGTAGGCAGCCACGCGGTGGCGAAACTGCCGCCTCGCGCGGACGCGTCCAACCTGGTGCTTGGGCGAGTGACGCCCGGGCCGCCGGCAAACCGCAACGGGTTGACGCCGTAGTCGGAGTGGCACGGGCTTCTGCGACACCGGCTGTGGCCGCCGGGACGAGGCCTTGAAAAGGAGTACCACGTTTCCCTGCTATCTCTGGCTGGTCCGTTGTCAGGTGCGTTACTTTCTGGACGTCTTTTTTTTGCCCCCGATTATTTCCGCGCGCATAAACTGAACCCAGATTTCAAAATGTTATTTCTGGAGCTGGGGTGGAGACTGTAAATATATAGCAACATTTTGGAACGCGTTTTTTTGCGAAAAGTTTCCTAATCTCTGATAAGACTACATTTTTTTTTTCAAGAAAAATTCGAAAATCGGAGACCAGAAGACATTCTTAGCCAGTAATAATGTGGAACAAAGCCGTGTTCAGTCAAATCATTTTCAATCGTGATTTCTAGGATGTTTTAGAAGGTACCGTGATACCTCAGTTATAGGCCGCATAAAAATAGACTCGGTCTATTTGCGTTTTAATGAGATACTGACCATGAGCAACGCCACATTTTTTTATGCATACAGCATTGATTTGGCAACAGTTTTTAAAGAACCTTTACATGAGAAAGAGCCTGGATTTTAAAAATATTTTAAAAGCATTCTTTATACTTTTCCATCTCCCTCGTCGAGAATATTTCTGACGAAAAGCTGTAACGGATATATGTTTTATTCTGCTCTCATGACGTTACTGCTATTTTAAAGGTATAATTCGTGAATTCATCAAGCAGATTGAATGTTTCTTGAACTTTAAACTCCTGCCATGAATTCCGCTTTTTGCGTTTGTGGAGGGACGACGCATTTTTAAAATTTACCTAGTGGATTTTCTCCATTTCTTTCAAAAATGTAGAGGCACGCGGGATTTTCAGCCCCATGGGATGAGGATAGTGAAAAAATGAAGGAGTTCGCGTGATTTTCTCCTCTAGGTAAGTACGTACTTTGAAGCCCATCTTCAAGGTCCTATTAAACCTTACGTCTTCGGCCGCAACGTAACTTAAATTTAAATTATGACATGACATGAACTTTTGTTTGCGTACCATAATAACGGAATCTGATGATACTGAAATTTGAACAGCAATTTCCTCGAGTCTCCCGGGCTGCTGTTTGAGCAAGCTTTTAGCCGGGAGTATCGAAAGCCACGCGAGGTAATGCCTTTCATAAACCAATTTACGCTCCAGCGAGTTATTAAACCCCAAGAATGGCTCCCATGCGGGTCATGGCACTTCGCGTGTCACTGACAACTTCTCTCCTCTTTTCCCCATCCTGTCCAGACGGGCAAACGCTGCTCAGCCCGGTGATAATTTGCGGAGGTGCGCCGAACCTGGTGCTGAAGAAGCCGGTGATCCTGTCGTTCCAGCACTGCGCTTCTCTGCAGCACGGGCATTGGACCCTGGCTGTTTACAACTCTGGCGACGACGTCGTGCTTCCTGGACAAAGCTGCACTTGGGACGTGAGTGCTAAAAGCCCCCGCGCGCTATTTTCCTGTGTCCCGTTTTTCCTCGTGTTCGTCGCTCGCGTCTCTCGGAGAATAAAGGAAGCATTCGGTGGACGAACTTCCGCATCGCTTCTCATCCTGAAACCTAATGGACTTGGGAATCCGCGTGGTTAATGACCCGTTTTTTTTGCTGAATGCCGGGACACATTTGAGCGCGGGTCCGCGAGAATTAAAAGAAGGAAAAAACAGAGCTTTCGCGGAACCATCAAAGAGCATAACGGCACCTGAAGAGCACCTGCTCGAGGCGACGACGCTTGCGGGGAATTTTATTGATCAACCTACGTGTCATAATAAGAGTATGGTAAAGGTTTATTGGTAAGAAGCAAATACGATGACAACTATTTTACACAAGGTTCACGGCAAAGTAGGAACTATAGACTACTTTATAAGACATTTTCAGTATGTTTGCCTCGCTTTTTTAGGACGCGCTGCATTGTCAGGCCGCGTTGCTCCTGAGGGAATATTTTTCATTATTATAAACTTGTATTAAAGTAAACCCAGCGCTTCTGTCTAAATTTAAAATGTAGACCCTCTAATTTTCCGAAATTTCAAATGTGTTTCTAGTTGAATAAAGCAAAGATCCGAGTCCAGTTAATATGCTATATTGAACCCATCCGGTAAGCTTCGCTCGAGGATTAATTTGTTCTACTCTTTTTCTCTTTTCATACCTCGCCATACAAAAACCAGGAACTGAGTCAGACTACGATTAAATTGTCAACTTATTAAGCAGGGCTTATTTTCAATTTCTGTTCGATCATTTATCCGCCTATTTATTTTTATAAAACGTGAGAGCTGAGCTTGACCTCCAACACTACACTTCGGGTAACTTCTTCGCAGCGAGTTCCTAATTGGAGGGTAAAATGAGGAAAAAAAGCGTAAGCACAACTTTAATACAGAGAACCTCAAAAAATTTAGCAAAAAATTTAACAGAAGCATGCTGTTTTAGCGAGTTGTTCAACTGGGAGATGAGACGATTATCACCCCAGTTTTCACGCAACTGGATTCCACGCACTGCCACCTGATGATTGAGACCCTGGGGAGATACGCTTTGATCGGACGCAGTGCGAATGCTGGCGGATACGCCGTGAAGAGCCTCCAAGTGGCGGCTTTCGTGTCCCCGATGTCCGTGCCGAGCGTGGACGCTGATCTCCGACTCAGAATTTATTGCATGGAAGACAATCGCAGTTCATTGCAGGTGCGACTTGACCTCCACTTACGTTTTATATATATTTTTAAAAATAATTTCAATCAGCCTTTCGTTGTTGGCACTTTTGTACGCGAATTGAAATTGTAGCGGATCCGCGGCGGCCTTGTCGAAGTGATGTTGACTCCTCGTTTTTGATCTTTCCAGGGCGTCCTTGCGGTCGAGAGGAAGCTGCAAGGACAGCTGGTGGACCAGCCAAAGACGCTTTTATTCCAAGACGGCGGTGGTGGCTTGTTGCTGAAGGTTGACCCGGGACAACATTACCGAGTCAGTCCTCCACAACGACAGGTGCGTGCCTGACTAATGACGTAATATCTTACTCATAATTGGGACTTCATACTGTACTGGAGAGGCAGTTCTCATTACAGACACGTGATGGCAATGTATGAATAGAGAAGAATAGCTAATGAATTTGAAACTGCGAATGTTTCACGCAGGGATATGTCGACCTGGCTCATCGGTCATGCAAGTATCGTGACCTAGGTTAACCTTTACGGAACAAAAAAGCTGGTATTAACTCTATTCTTTCGAGTATGAAGGGGTCGCTTTCCCCAAAAGTTCGAAAATCCTGATGCGGTCTATACTCAAGGGTTTTTTTTTTCGCATAAGCCACATCGTCTGAAAAATTATCTCTACACTTGGAATAGTGTCTTAGACTAGGAATGACTCGAAGTCACAGTGTCATTGCAATTTGAAAGATTAGAAACTTTGTTCCGCTTGCCAGTTGCTGACTTGCAGAGAAAAATCATATGTATCCTGCGGAAACATGCCCCTGAAAATTTCACGAAGTTAATTCAATAATTATTCGGATGTTTTTATTGTTGGAATTATTTATTTCCAACATCTTCACATCACAGTCTTTGTGACCTATACAGTTTTTTTTATGATAGCATATGTTCAGGAAGCTGCATATGTACTGACGTAAAATTGATTTCATTTGCCCGAATTTTTTTGGGGGCTTTCTTCTAGCATATTGATCAGCTCTGTTTTTTTATTTTCTTGCGTAAGAAGCTATTAAAGGATGCGATTAAGTTCTGTAGCGGGAGATCTGTGGATGAAATTCAGAATACTGTCTCCCTTTTTTAAATGGCTTTCGGGAAACTCCGTTTAATCACGTCACTATGGAGATTTCACAACAACATTTTCTGGGTAGCGACTTTCGAGAGCCTTCTCTAAAACTGGCACTACACTGTGGTGATGTCATACATGCTTATTCTTCTTGGTGTGAACGTGATGCATTGCCGTGTGTGACAAGAATGTGTGGTCGTTGATGCCGATTTATTTTTATTTTTTTCCTCAGGAGATACAATTTCCGTTGGTGTGGAGCAGCCCGCAGACAGCGTTGCTGATGTCTGTCAGCCTGGAGAAAATCGACCCGTGTGCACCAGACATCGTCATCGGTCATATTCTGATGTCTCAGTTACATCCGGTGCCCGTGGCTAGTTTGCCGTTGCCGTTGCCGAGGTCTCAAACCTTGCTCCTCGAACTTGACTTGCAACAGACCTCAATGATTTACCCGCAACCCGGACTAGCGGCGAATTTCAACGCTTCAGCTGGGAAATTGAGCTTGGAGCCGTGTGACAAGGTGTTCAGGATCAGCGGGATCGTCAAGAAGCATCTGTGTCAGAGTCTGGATCCGCCTAACTTGCAGGGCAATGATTGGCGACTCTTGGCCCAGCATTTGGGCATGGACAGGTAATTTTCTACTTTTTTTAAATCGCGTATTTTTCGCGATTTTTCTGAATGGATTAATCTAAAATATGTGCTCACTTTTTGAGTCTGTTGAGAGCCTTAGAAGTCAGTGTGATCTTTTGGAAACGATGTTGCTGGTGGGGTAAGCTTTCGTATCGGTAAAACAGATGTCGCTTGCTGTTTGAAAAAACTTTAGCGGAATCGCTAATTCGTACCATTTTCCTCGACATTGTATTTCTTGAATGGGCATTTATTCTTTAAAACAAATGAAAATCAGGATATTTATTTTATGCAGTCATGCGATACAAACGACATATACGTATTCGATTGCAGTCGTGTCGCTTCTTTTGAATATAATTTTGACGGACTGGAAATGACGAAGTCAAACTTTAAATTACTGTTAAATCAATTTCGGATTCCCGCATGATCGTCTTAACCGTTCATAATATGAATTTAGACCGAATTTCTGTGAACGTAGCTGGGGCTCATTTTTTGGAGTAAAATGCTAATTTCGATGCTGTATCTGAAATTCGATCAAATTTATATTCTCAAAAATAACGACAAAGCTGTCGAAAGTATACAATTTAAACTTGAGCCGCTTCATTCCTTACTTTTTGCCGGATAATCCGAAAATTATTATAAGAGCTAATATAGTACGCATCGAGATCGTAGAAATTTCCGTGATATTTACATCAGGACATTTAATAACATTATTTTCTTCCTTGTGCTTTTCATTATTGCAATGTCTGTGATAGTGCATTTGTTTAAATAAAGCGACAGAAGCACGAAATTATCCTCGCGGGTATTACCTGAATGCGCGAATAAATTTAATTGGAGGACGGTGCATGATTTCGCTGTTGAAGGCATGTTTTGAGAAAGTATTTTCATGGCTTTGTTTGTTGCAGGTACATCAATTATTTTGCAACCAAAAGCAGTCCGACTGAGGCTATTCTGGACTTGTGGGAAGCGCGGAACCGGGACGTGAATGCGGTTCCAGAGATCGTGGCGATCCTGCTGTCGATGAACCGACGGGATGCTGCGGTGTCACTGCAGCAAATCCCGTCAGCCACGGTGCAACCCATGGTCTGGTGAAGACGCTTCCTCTCACATCTTCCATATCCAGGGATGAAAATCTTGACAACCATTTCTGAATGTGATACGTTGATTAATTAATATCAAACGGATACCGCTCCAACGGGCGTGCTGTAAAAAAAAAGAAAGAAAGAAAAACAAATTTTGAAATCGAGTTAGAGGAAGCGATGAGAGAAACGGTAGCGCGTTGTACCGTGAAGGTTCCTTGGGATGTTGCGGAAGTTCTGAACGCGAGGTTTTTATTCGGTGTGCCAAAATTTCGCAAAGGCTGGCTTTGGAGCACAACGGCTGAAAGATGCACAACGCGAGACCGGGGATTTGCTTTGTATATCTGTTTTTGGGGGGGACTGAATCTTCTGTGTCGAGCTGTTCTTGTTCTCATGAGTGTTCAATTTTAGTGTTTTTTTTATTTTATTCCCTGTTTGTTCTCGATGTTGGTTCTACTCTAGTCAGGCAGATCGGTCGACGACTTCGTTGAACGCTCTTGAAATCAACTTGATGTTTCGCTCGAACGCATGCTTTTATCGTCGATGCGAACTGGGTGTTTTCCCCACATGATGTTTTGCCAAAAAAAAAGGATTTTAGCTGAGAAAGATTGTCAAAAAGGCTTGTTTGCTGTGTGCAAATATGGCCTCGGTTCGGAATTGCGACGATTTTCTTTTCATGGATGTTATTCTGGATAATATAGAGCATTTCTTTATGTCCGCGAGACAGAAAATCGAAATAAAGATGGGTTGTTTTTTACAATTTCTGGAATACTATTCTTTGCCTGCTTGCAATAATACACTTACGCAAACATACATCAGCGAAGGTTTTTCAAACTTTCTATGTTCATTTCAGATCAGTAGTTGAAATACCCGCGGTGGTAGAGACGTCAAACGGGATAATGATCCGCAAATAATTTGCATGGTTGCACTTTTTGGGTGACCCCATAAAATTGAAATCTTCTTTTGAATGCAAGATGCTTTGGATTACGAAGATTCACTCAATTATTGCAAGGTCGGAATCCGGAGAAAGAGTTCCGTAAACGCGGTTATATTTTTAGTTGGTTATTATAATAACAATGGAGACGTGTCATTAAAGAACACCATGGAAACTTGTGCAACAACTTTTCTGGATGACAGAAAGATCTGTAAAAAAAGTAAAATGGCATAAGTTTGACATTTTTTCAAAGTGCGAAGTGCAGAATACCAAACTGCACCTGAAGTAAAGAAAATTTTTTTAAAGATCACCTTTCTAATTGTTCAATGATATTCAGCTATACCTGCTTCATTGTTGCTTAATGCATTCTGGAACAAAAAAGAGAGAACTTCTAAAAACCTGCCACAAAAATCTTTCAAACAAAATTTTTGGGAGCTTGCAACAATTTTTTGAAACTTCGCCGGTCCGCATAAATTTTTTTTTGGAATTCGCCGGTCCCAAAAAAATTTGATGGAAAATTTGCCGGTCCGCGGCCCCAAAAAGGTTCGGGAACACTATTCTAAATAACATAAGGTGTAGAACCCTTATTTCTACGCGGTATGTGCTTGACGATTTTATATCGTCTAAAGCTGGAGACTGAAGAAGGAGTAGAAGAATAAATACTTTTTACTGTGATGAAACCGCAACTTATTGCATTCCTGGTCAAAATCCTCTCAAATTTTGAGACACGAACAACGTGAATGGAGGTGGTGAAGGCTGGCGCGGTTCTACACCTCGGCTACAGCGCAGAACCGCGCCGTCCCCATGCATGAAATCCTCCAAGAAACCTGGCGCAAAAGGTTTCTGCCTCAGGGACTCGCTGTGGATGACTATACCTCAGTTGCATTAATACCGTGAGACTGTGAACAATGAATTCAGTTTAAGCTCGATAACTCGAACCTCTCCAAGTCGAATACCTCTTCATGTAAATTTTTTTCAAGTACCTGTTGGAATTTCCTTAGAAATAATGCTTCGAAAAATCCCCCTAACTCGAAGGCTTTCCCTTTAAAATCTACGTAACTTTAATTTCCTGGAGGCCTTTTTGTCGCACGAAAGCGAAAAGTAATAAAAATGTGAGGATGTATTTTGAAAGGAAATGAAGGACTAATTGGTCAAGTGAACCCTTGGCTCCAAGTTAAGCATCCTAGTTGTCAACTCATGTAAGAAGCCATTTAAGGCCTAAAATATCAAAAAACATTATTTCCTGTAATTTTGCTCTTTCCCCTCCGCAAAAGATTGTTTCCTTAACTCAAAACCAACTCCAATTCGATTTTTTTAGTCCCTTGACGTTCGATTTGAAGAGATTTGACTGTATCTCATCGGGGAGTAAATACAGTCAATTGCTTTTACACCTTTTTACTTCGTTGATACTGTACATTCATACCCAGTGCCTTGAAAAGATAAATGCAGATTTTGAGTACATCGTTCCTTGAAATTCATTGCGGTGAATATTATTATTATTATTATTATTATGTCATGCATCTTTTGCTATGTGGCTTCTTCTTGAAATTTTCATCCAGGTGTTAGAACACAAAGATTTTTGGATTATAGAAGAAAATATTGCCTTGCAGTGCAGTTGAATCTCCAATCAGCCGTCATCCATCTCTCTTTAATCTGACGCGAATAAGATCCTGAACATGGCTTTATGACCTCGTAGAATCCCTAAACTGTGTGTTCAATGCAGCAGTAGACCTGAAACCATTTCAAGCAATGTGTGAAGCCTGTTAACCGTGTAAATTTTTGCACTCCACAAATTTTAGTTCTCACTTTTGAATTCTACATTTCATGCAAGTTATTTGTCTTACATTTCCTTCTTGCATTATGCTGAGGTGCAGTTTGAAACCCCCTGCTGCAATGAAAAACAATTTACCAAACGTTAAAAATAATTAATTACGCTCTCAAAAATGCAAACTTATGAATATTCTTTTGTTGAACTCTGTTTCCACGTTTCTGATGCTGTAGTATACAGCATCAGAAACAATATTCTCGAAGTGCTTAAGATAGTTGACCTTTTGAAATATCGATCCATTTAAACATTTAAGAGCAATAAAAAATCGGCAGTTCTGGTGAAACCTTTGAGTATGTAATTTTAAAAATTCAGGTATACTCCCATTGGAAAAAACGTCAAATGCATTAAGTTTAAATTAACGCTTAAATTTTATCAGCCGTTCATTACTTTAATTTAAGGCAGTCTGAACTTTCAAATTTTCCATCAGAAATTGCCCCCATGCATATGCCGATAATATTGAACATGATACGAGGAATAACCATAGGAGAGTTTCCAAGAATTTTTCTGCAAAGATCAACGGTCAATTTATTTGATGAATGGCATTCTAGAATTATTTTTGCGTTTCAGAGCTTTATCGCCGTCTTGAAAGTTATGCACGGTTGCTTACAATGATTTCCTCGATATGAAATTGAAAATGTCATACTGTGAATATTATAATTCGGCTTATGGAATGTAGCAGAAATTTCATATTCTTTGCCGGCCTAAATTCGTAATCTTAGATTCCATTCAACTCTTTTTTTCTTGTAGGGGAGCAAAGAACCGCACTCCAATGTATAGGATTTTTGAGCTGTTGTCTATCTACTCTTAGGTTATACCCTTGACCCACTCCGTGATTTTGTCCCAGACACAAAAGAGGGCCTTTATAGAAGCACTTCTTTATTGCTCCTAGCACAAGCGACGGGAGTGTCAACACTGGTCCATACATGAGTGTCACCGGCATTGTCGTGATGGGCATTCGAATGGCGGACAGGCAGAAAGAAATTGAGGTTTATTGATCAAATGCCTTCGGTCAAACAGGACATAACGTTCAACGCGAGTGCGAAATAATTTCACGGAAGCACGGAAGTGGGCTGCGGGCGATTGCTCTGAAAACGGATGTTCGCATATTATTACGACAAAGTCATTGTTCGAGAAGTGGTGCAGGCTTCCGGTCCAGTTTTTTTTTCAGTTCAGCAAATACTTGCTCGAAGATTTTTTTTCTCTTTTGATTCACGGAGCTGATTGGACGTTTTTTTGTGTTGTTTGCAGGATAATCATCGAGGTGGCTTTATGTGAAACAAGTTTTAGTTGCTGTATCTTGCGGCCGTTACTTTCTATGCTTAAAAATGTCTTCCGATGACATTTTATCGTTTGAAGACTACGACGAATATCTTGACTCCAAAATAACTGCTTTGGACATTATATTTCTTCAGGTGAGACTCTGCACTATCCATTTCTGTGTATTTAGTCCAGCCAACCACTGATACGGAAGACGGTCAAACTTCTAGAGTCAATATTTACACACTCAGTCGTTTAAACTCAATAAGCACAGTATGTTCCTGTGTTTTACTTGGGATGAGCGGATGCAAGGCTTAAAATGCTTACACGTAGACGAAATTATCTACAGTATTGTGTTGCAAATTGACGGCATTCACAAAAATGGAAGATTTAAAAACTAAGACATTTATTTTTATTTTGTTCAGTTAAAAAACTTTTAATGAAGGAAAAAAGCAGCTCGTCCAGATTTCCTCCTTTGTTTAGGAGTTGTGGTTTTGGAAGCTCTCTTTTTCTTCGAGCCTCTATATTTTTGCTGTGATTAAAAACTAATAAAAAGATGTAACTCCTGAGCCTTGAGGAAAAAGCTTTAAATCGTTCTTCGGCAGGAATGTTGCTGGGAAAGCTGACAATATGCAGAAAACGCTTGAATTGTAAAAACAGTTTTTCCTATCAATGCTGGATTCATAATTTTGAAAATTGGGGTAAAGTATTAGCACATGATGGCGATAACCCCAAAAAGTCCTGGAATGTTCATGTTCCAATTTATGGGTTTTTAATGCCAAATATGAGTCGTTTCTATATGCTGATTACATAGATTTTCGCGGAGATGGGAAATACTGTCCATGTTTTCGAAGGATGGTCTATGAGTTATAGGAGACGCAGTAATAAATATAGATGAACACTTTTTCATGCACAGAAAAACTTTTAAAACTGTGATGCTGTGCCTATCGCAGGACTATGATTCTTGAGTGATGGCTTTATTATTTTTTTCATTTTGACAGTTCATTTTTATTTTCGACTCGCTAATAATGGATATGCAGTACTGTACATAAAACAACGCGTCTTACATTAAGAACTACCTGTTGAAACCTTCAAGTGCTTTCCAGAAAAAATGGCTTCAGTTTTTTTTCTAGTCCACAGTAACTTTATTACGACTTTTCTGTAAGACGGAAATTTTTAATAATTTGTATGAACACGGATCTTCATTTTGGGCAGTTTCCTTGCTGAGTTTTGTAGCTATGATCAGTGAAGGAATATATTGTAGCTGGAAAAGGGTTTTATTCAACACAAGACCTACCAATTCAAGACTTTCTCTATCGCATTACCATCATGTGATTGGAGGACTACTCGCCGAAGTCATCTGTTATTTTCAATATGATCGCTGATTGATTGATTCATAAACAAGCTTTATTTTCCGCTTTCCAAGGTACTGTAGTACAAAGACTGTGATGTGAAGATGTTGGAAATAAATAATTCCAACAATAAAACATCAGAATAATTATTGAATTAAATCTGTCAAATTTTCAGTGGCAGGTTTTCGCAGAATACCGATGACTTTTCTCTGCAAGTCAGCAGCCGGCAAGCGGAACAAAGTTTGTCATCTTTCAAATTGCAATGACACAGTGACTTCGAGTCACTGCTAATCTAAGACACTATTCCAAGTGTAGAGATAATTTTTCAGACGATGTGCGAAAAAAAAAACTCTTGAGTATAGACCGCATCAGGATCTTCGAACTTTTGG